GAATCTCCCATTCTTTTCTTAACCTGTAAAGTACCTTTTTGTAATTATGATTTGCAAAAGGGCTTTATTCCATTTGTTTCATTGAATATCACACAAAAAGCAGTTCAGTTACTGGTAGCACATAGTGTAATTGATTTCTGAATGATTTACTATTTGAGAATTCCATTTCAATAGGTCCTCAAGTACAAGCATCCATTCTTTTGGGTTGTTGGGGTTTTTTTATTTCTTGTCTAAATTAAAGTTATCGTGGTAACTTAGAAGCCAAATAAGATGCATTCTCTGTTTTGAATGCCAAATTTAAGTATACAAATATAGTAAATATGTTGTCAGTAAGAGCAAGTAAAATGTGTGATATGGAATGCTGATTGTTCATGTAACTGAAGGTTATCGAGGCCTTTTGGATTCAGGCCACACAGCTAAACACTAATATAATTCCTTTCCTTTCACCATAACTTTAAGTATATTTTTGAACCAATGCTTACAGATAAATAAATTATAGATTTCATGGTGAATCTTTCTTTAAAGACAAAATTGTACTTGTGCTTAGAGACATTCAATCCTTCCATAACCTATAGAAAAATTTTGTTATCACCACTGTGGGCTTTCCTGCTGCAGTTTAACAAATAAACCCTGAATGCAGTTTCCATGTGAAGGGTGAACAAAACAATGCACATGGATGCAGAGACGTTAGGTGCTAACAGAATCCAAACAAGTCATTCCTTTCCTGAGGAGACTGTAATCTAAGGCTAGAGAAGGCTAATGCTAATTTACTTTTTTGGTTTTTGCAAATATGCACACGAAATTGGATGGTTTCTCTGTAAAATTATTCACATAGGTGAATGATTACAAAATCTCAGGGTGAATTATTTTTTCTCACTCTGAGAATGCATTTATGGGAAAATGCCTGTCTGGGTTCAGTGTTTGTTATTTTTAAGCATTTGGGATTATTTTTTTTTTGTTGATTAAACTGGGGATATCAATTTGAACTTTTACGAACCTGACATCTTCCAGGGTCCTGCCCCATGCCAGAACGGACCTGTCATGGAGTGCCAAGAAGTCTCTGTATAATAAGTTCTGCATAGTATGTGTTGGACAAATGTAAGTGAGCAACTGAACGATAGAGATTTCCCCAAGCTAGTATAGCCTACAAGAATGACAAATACTTTACCTTTTCAGTAGAGTAATCATTTGTTCTCTCAATCCTTGCCCTCTCTACGGATTTTATTCATGTAGTATGTTGCCGGTCATTTTAGAACTGACCTACATGAAGGGGAGCACTTTTTCATGTTATCTATTTTTGTAACACGTAAAATGACCTTTCAGTCAGTCTCTGGGCACACATTCAGAAGTTTAAGTGCTTTACTATTTGCTGATCAGCTAGCAAGAATGACCTTGAAATCAGAAGCTGCTCCTTACTGCACTCTGGGGCAGCAACCAGGCTGTTCAGAGGTAACCCAGCAAAGCCCAACAGGCAGGTAAGTGGTAGCTCTTTGCCAGAATTAGAGGTCATGGACAACTTGAAAATAATGAGGTACCTGGTGCTATCTGCTGATAATGGATCATGAATTGTGCTCAAGACATGACAGTCTCCATGACTGAGAAGAGACAATAGAAGACACAGTACACTTCTTCAATCTTATATTCCCAGTGCTAAGAGGAATCAAGGAAATGTAAATGTTGGTATTACTTTACAGCACTACTTGACAACAGAGAGCAAAGCCGTTCCAAAAATGGAAGAGTAGAAACAGTGATAGACTGTGTCATGATGACTTTTGGAGGCTTATAACAACTGAACATTTAGTTGATATCTCCTACTGCTTCAAGAAAAAAATGATGTGATAAACAGTTATCACTGACAGGGAAGAGGTCTGTCTATTTGGAAAGGTTTTCAGAAATAGGCAGTATTGTCCCCGGAATTCACCTCTGTTGTGTTTGTTTTGGGATTTTTTACACAAAAAAAAAAAAAGGTAGACAGATCTGGGGGCAAAGTCAGGTCTTATGCCTGGCAAGCAGTGCTGTTCTGCTGGGTTTCTGCAGGGCACAACAAAGAGGGGTATGCAGGGAACACAGAAAAGCTGTGGGGTTTTTTGATTCCTTTCTGTCGCT